AAATAATAATAAAAAAGTTGAAAACGGAGTTGAAGTAAACATTTAAGTGACTCTCAGGCTTAAACCTGTCCAGGGCTCCTTTTCTGGAAAGTCCTGGTAAATCAACAGGCCCAAAGCTATATTTTATTAATATCAAAATTTAAAAAATAGAGAAGCAGGTTCTAGCTCCCTGACCATTCAATCTTTTTTCTTTGGCTGAAAGTGTAATTGTATGATTCTAAAAACTTTTAAAACCTTCATCTTGAATGAAAACAGAACAGCTTTACGGGACCAATAAGCAACTGGGACCTTCAAGAAACTGACCACAAATCTGTCATCAACAAAATATATCGTAGATTCCACAAAAATTTCAAAAATTAATACTTAAAGCTGATTAGTAATGATGATCAAAACAAACAAGTGGGAAATAAAATCAGCAGGGACACTTTATATCCTCTCCAGCCCAGTACACATAGCACTTCTGGGTCAACTCTTACCCTTAATAGTAAGGTACCTGAATGTCAAAAGAAGACAAAAAGGGAGAGAAAGAGAGAACCCTCCCCAAGCACTTCTCATCAATAACACAATGGCTCACATTTCATACGAGTGGACATGTGCCACTTAACTTTAGTGCACAAAGTCAAAGTTGACAGGCGACATTCCAGGCTGAATGAAAAATGCTTGAAATAGTGGCTTAAGTATTCTGGACCATTCACACAGCAAAGTAAAGCAAAACCAAAGTCATACTTTCCACACTCAATTGGAAATTGCTCAATGGTGAAACAATAAAAGCAACATGTACGAACTATCATTTTGTTCTTTTCATGCCATAAAGAAAATTTTTCTGGTGGAAACTTATGAAAGTAAAAGAAAAAGCAAGACAGGTGGATGAAGGGGCTGATGCTGGCCAATTTACATTATGAACTCAATTGGTGACATTGAATTACCTTCTAACACCTGCCACTGACTCAACACTACACTTACTCCCTTTAATCATTAGGCAACAGAAAAAGTTGTTTGCTTTTTGTAATTCATTTTGTATGGAAAAGCTTTAGGTAGGCCTCAACTAGATACAGCAACCCACTTTTTCCAACTCTGAACATAATGAACCTGTCCCATAATAAGCCTGTTCTCTCTCGAACAACAGGCTACCATTAGAACCATTAGAAAAACATAGACCACAAATGGGCTGGGAGGGGCAGAGGATCATAACTTCCCAAAAAATCTACAGAGGAGAAATAACTGTACAAAAGATGCTGATGTTTAGCAGTAGAGTATTTCCTTAAAAAAAGGGAAGAAAAAATAAATCTGAGAAAAAGAGGGAGGGCATTTATTGAATAATGAACCACACATGCTAGACAAAGAAAGTTTTCATCTGTTTAATTTCTTCTGTTCCATTTCTAGATTACCACCAAGTTATCAGCAAAATTACCTCTTTTATGACTTCACCACTTGCAAAGCAATAACATCTAGCTAAGATCCTAACAAAAAGTTATTTGAATCTGAGCTGTCATAAGCAAGACAATGAAAGTCACCAAGAAGGTTATTTTTCCAATTTTCTGCCACTTTGCTCCGCTTAACAAACCAATTTTCATAACAATCGATTCCTTATGGGGACTCTGAATTTTTTTCCTTTGTCCCATGCTTGTGACAAGATAAAAAACATCTTTCCCCAATACATAACTATGTTGATAGTCACTCACAAGATTTTGAAGGAAGTGACAACAGTTGTATTTCACAAAAGTTTAAAGTTTAAAAAGAAAAAAAAGTAATAGTAAAAAAGTATGGTAGCTTTTTTACCTCACAAAGATATGATCCCAATTGACTGATCAAAAAAGGATATCCTTCTAGTTGTTTTCAAGTAAATAAATTAAAAATTATTTTCTTATTGGACAGTTCCATTCTTATAACTAGTTACTTGACTTTATTTTCAAAACTGCATCTCTAACAGCTTGAAGGTCAGCTTTATCACCAAACTCTTTTTCTTTATGATCAAGTAATATGCCTTGCTCTCCAGGTCCTACAACAAAGACACCACCCAAGAGGCGTCCCTCTCCTTTAAGGTTGCCCTCAATTCCCTTGCCTCTGGCTCGAAATGCTGACTTCCACACACTTGGTCGTAACAATCCTGAAAAATATAAATTAAAAGTTATAGAGGAAGATGTTTCTTGTCTTGTCATGACAGTGGGACAAAGAGGAAATTCTTCATCCCCATAAGGAATCCAACCTCAGAACTTTGGATTTTTCTGCTCCTTATATCTTTACCGAGTACAAAACATACCATCTATCTTATTTTAATAACAAACAATATTCTATTGACATTGCTGATCCTAGCAATATGCTGGATGCATGTTATATATGAACTTTGTAACGGGCCCTGCTCACCATGGAGTCTCTGAGGCTCAGTGGTAAAGCATCAGAGCATGAAAAAATCCAAAGGTCTGAGGTCATGGGGACCCAGAAATTTTCCTTACCAAGCTCAAAATTTACCATCTATCTTATTCTATTAACAAACATTATGCTGTTGACATCGCTGATCCTAGCAATATGCTGGATACATGTTATTTATGAACTTTGTAATGGACCTTGCTCACCATGGAGTCTCTGTGGTCTTTAATGATCTTTGAAGATCTTTAACAGATCCTTTAAAGATCCTTTAAAGATCCTTGTCTTTAAGGATCTTTGGCAGGTCTTTGACAATCCTTGAAGATCCTCAAAGATCCTGTGAGGTTTTTCACCAGGGCAGTGGAAGAGCATCAGAGCACGGAAAAAACTTAAGGTCTGAGGCAATGGGGACCCAGAAATTTTTCTTTGTTTGACACTCATGACAAGACAAAAAACATCTTTCTCCATTTCTTTACCAAACTCCAAAACTTACCATCTTCCTTATTCTATAAAAAGTTATCTTGGCAAAACTGTTACTAAAAGTGACTGATAAAATTCTTAGTCTTTTAAAACAATGCCTTTTATGTTTGAAATGCACACTTTCAATAAATGCTACATAATTACATATATTAACCCTTTCACTTCCAATAACTCAAGGTGGAAATTATCCTCATCGTCTTTCATACAATTCTTGTAAGATTTGTTCTGAGATTTTGGTGTTTGATCAAATGATAATCCCCTAGTTAACATTTGTTGTTATTCTCATTACCTGGCTGCTTGAAATTGTATTCATACAGTAGGGAGAAATAATGTCTGTAATAATGGGTTAAATACTAAATTTAACAAAACACATTGAAAATGCCTGTTTTCTATAAGATTTCAGGTTAATTTAGATCAATTATTCATATGTGTACTGGTCATTTTGTGCAGTAGATCTCCTAAAAATTAGTAAATGAAAACACTCCTCATCTGGTTGTAAGCCAGGCATAGCAAGCAAACTTACCAGTAAGAAACATCCACCGTTGTTCAGGACCATAAAACTTTTTCTGAGGTAAGAACAATAAGATACCATTTTAAGAATTGGTTACTCAACTGCCAAAGCAATTAATTATTTCAAATTTAGCTGCAGACATATAAATTTGATGTAAAATTCTTCACCTGTATGTAGAATATACCAAGTCAAGACTTTTTTTTCAAAGTAAAATTTTAGACCAGAAAAATAGCTGATTATTGTTTAGGAAAAGCTCAGCTAGATCTGAATAGATACCTAAAAGAATTTTTAGCCTGTAATTCTTCATAAATTAATCTCATGAGCCTCTTTCACCCTCATAAACCAACATGCACTTTATTTTTAACTGGTGAGACGCAGAAGGTACATGAAAAGAAAAGTCATTAAAAATCCATGACATTTATTTCACAGATGCTTGTTTAATAGCCTTATTTTACCTCCTCATCAAGGTAAATTGTAGAATTTAGATATGGCTGAAACTCTTTCACTCCCATTTCTTCATGAACCACACCCACAAGGTTTACACCCCTCTGGTCCAGTTCAGGTTTCAGAGAGGACAGCTCTGACGCTTCCTAAAGAAAGATTAATAACGATACTAGCTGACATGAATAAGCAACACTCAAGTGCAAGATACCTCTTATTAGCAAGTATTGTATATCATTGGAGAGTTTTTAATTGCTCAATGTTAGTTCATAAACCTTTCTTTTTTCAAAATAGCCCAAATTTCAAGCATCAAATTAAAGGGCATTTTATAAAGCTGGAGGACCTTGCCCCTCAACACATGTCTAATTCTACCATAGTATGTATATAACATTTTGAACAGAAGCATATTTTACCTCTCTGCACAAGTTTCATCCTGGTCGTCGCACCACCATTATGACTGCTCCACTATTTTGCCAAAGGTCAGATGCCATCAATTCTCTTCCCGATCCATCTAAAGTTTTGAGTTTAATGGCTTTCAAGTAAGCTAAATCAGGCCTTGCACTGTTCTTGTACCAGTCCCAGTTTGAATAAACATAACTCGCAACAAGTGCTATTCCACTAGCACCGAGAAGCCAAGCCATCTTGGTAGCTATGCGGCCTGTAAATGAACAAAGGTTTTTAAATTTCCCTCAGTAATTTTGATCAAAAGAATGGTCATGGTGTATTTTCATTGGAACATTTTCTTGGAAACACAGCCTTTCAAAATACCCACAATAGCACTGGAACTTTTGGGAGATGGGGGTGGGGGAGGTTTCTAGACTGACAAACTCTCCACACCAAAAGGGGCAGGGGCTTGTTTCTTGAAAATCTTGATAAATTTATTGGGCCAAATACACATTTCACAGTCTAAATCTCAGGTCTTCCCTTGAGATCTATTCTGTTTCATTCCCTGGTATCTCAACTGTTTGAATTTCAAAGTTATTTATATCTTGATCTTGAATGAAAACACAACTGAAATCAGACTTTAGGAATTGGTATTACCAGGACTTTGAGAAACAAGTGGATTTTACCAGACTAGCTAGTGACTCATAAGATGACAAGGTATGGGAACTGCCAGCTGAAAGAACAAGGCATAAAGGCTTGACACTCAACTAAAGTAAAGAAATGTCTACCAGAGGGCCGGAGTGAAACCACATCTCAAGCACTCAGCTAATTATCCATGTCATTGCAGAGTTTAGGACAAGAAGATGTCAGCTGCTAAGTCTAAGGGAAATTTGCTGGTCTTACTCTACAGCTTTAAGTCTATTGTTACTATTGCATATCTGTGGAGTGCAATGGTGCTTCTTTTCAGCTAAACAACTGAGAAATTCTCAAAATATTATGTCCAGCATAGGCTAGGGTCACAATTCACCATCTGCTAGACAACCATGCAAATCACTTTAATAAAGACAAAATAAAGTTAGCTCACTATATCCAGTTGGCCTATTTTTCAAGCAAGCAGGACTACCGGCCTCCAGGCTCCCCCCAGCCTTGGCCAGCTTACGTAAGATATAACCCTTCTAGACTGCCCTAAACACAAATAACCACACCCCCTCGAATTAGTTCCATGAGAATAAAACAAATTGACAAAGATTTCCTTTGATCGACCATGCTGTTATGGTAGAATTCATAATTGCAAAAAATAAGAGTGCGATAAGATAACGATGACGTCTGAGCACTACCACATGTGGAAGACTTCATATTACTTAAAACATAATAAGCTAAGAGCCATTGGGCATTTAAATTGCTCCTTCCAGCAGAATTACTCGACATAAATAACAAAAAATTACACAAGATCACTAAATACCTTTGAAGAATCTTATGGTTTTAGCCAGTGTGCATGTCAGGATCTAATTCGTCGGTAAATTTCGGATGATTTTAATCTTCCCCCTGCATCACCTTCAGGTCGACCGCCATTAATTTAAGCGTCTTAAATCGACAGTCCTACGAAATTCCTTCGTGAACAAAGAACCAATAAAAACGTCTAAAATCCTGAACTATGATCTTTTTGCCCAATCAGCGCGCACTTATCCCCGATGCATTATGGGATGATTTTCTTTAGCTGGCAAAAGCGCGTGATTTTGAACAACAAGATGTCCGTGAACTGGTGTAAATTGAGTCACTTTTCTACGTTGTTTTCATGGGATTTTGGCTTGCAAAGGAGGCTTGTTTTGGACGCTGTTTAAGATCGATGCATCTTACAGGTAATTAGTGGTTATTCAGGGGTCATATCTCTCGAAGGACTGTCCATCACGAAAGAATAGGCAGTGTTTCTCTTAGCGACCGTGGCCGGTGGAAGATCTCTTGCGTTTCTTTCCACGATCATGAAGTTAGAATTCTGGTCTTAACTTTAAACTCACCTTTTTATCTTAATTTAGATTTTATATTAACCGCTTTAATGTTTGCGTAAATTTCAAGTGTCAAAGAGCCTCCTACAACGCCGCAAAAAATTCATGTTTTAATTGTAAACTTTTAAGCCTGCAATTGACTATTCTTATTCCCTTTTGTGGTGGTTCTTTCGATTGCAATTTCTGTCCGTCTTCCCGTTGCGCCCTTAAATGCAATAAAGTGATCCCATGGCCAATTTTTCGAAGAGAGGTATTATTGATAAGTATGGGTATCAAACACGTCGATTGTTTGCTAAAATTATATGGGAATCGAACGGAAACTTTCGATTTTCGCATGGTGGGTTTTTAAAGAATGAAATGTCTCCCATTCTTTAAATGCTGCCGTAAATTACGGATTATTTCAATTTAAAACTTTGTGATGTGCCTAAATTGTTTATAAGCACTACTACAAAAGTGGAAAACTACATGAAATGGCTAATTTTAAAGAATGATATAGTGTAATAGTAGTTGATATTTTGCCCCGTATTCAGTAAACAATCGTAAGCTTTCGATTAATTTGTAGTTTGTACGCGTTAGGGCTTTATTCGAATGAGTGCGATAATGTCTGCATGTTTTGCATCTCAAACTTGCCCTGTACTTTAAAAACGAAAAAGAAATCTGATTTTCCACGATGTGCAAACTCTAGCTAATGTACGTCGGGGATAGGTAGTTCATCGAAGGTCAAAAGACGAACTTAAATCATTCGCCACAACCACCTTTGTCTATATTTTAGGTAAACACTGTAACTCGATAGATTACCTTATTCATGCCGAAATGAACACTTCTCCATTAGTCTTGTAGTGAATGATGATACAGACTTCCCTATACCTAATCCATATTTGGATAGGACCGCCTCGGATATTATTATTAAATTTCTTAAGAAACCTTATCTAACGTGGGTCTCTTTCCTAAGCTTATTTATGGACATCTTGTTAATCTTTATGACTTTTGTAGTTATTAGAGGTAGCGCTTCTTTGTGTAATTTCTGCAAACAGCAAATGATTCCCAACAAATGTAGTTTTATGTCTGTAATGTGGAATTTCAAGAGTCTTTTGTACATATTAAATATTATTTGCAAACTGAATAAGAAAACAAAACAGAAAACTTAACAGCACTGAAAGTATCTCAGTATAGTTGGATAATTAATTTTGGTAGTGCTCATTCATTAATTTTCATTTCACTTGAGCTAGTCTAATAATTTTCTTGAAATCTTCTTCAAACAACAAATAAACATGTGAATACTAATTGTTTTCTGAATAGGGGAATTTCATCTTTTATGGAGAAAATAATTACAGTTAAGCAAGAACCTATTGATGATGCATATCCAACACCACTATCAACCACAACAACAACAACAAAAACAACAGCATCAACTACCAGTATCACAACAGCAGCACAGAATGTAACCACAAAAACCACAGCTGTGGTCACCATACCTTCAGGAACGGTGGTAACAGGAACAGGACCTGTAACAACTGTGCCTGCATCAGAACCTCAAATATTTTTCATACAGCCCAAACCAGAAGTTCAGAAACAGCAATGTGCTGGTACACAAGGTGAGAGTGATATGTCAGAGGGCAATGCAAATTTCTGTCAAAATTACAATGGCCTATGTATGTCACAATGATCCAAGCTTGAAAAACAGGAGCAAGCTCTATTGGTAATTAAAAGAAGAGCAAACAAACAACCAAAGTAGTTTCTTTAGGTTTAGCTTGAAGAATTTGTTTTGCTTTTTATCTAAAAATTTTATCAAAAAAAAAATTCAAATTTGTTAGTTTAAGGAGGGGGAAAGAAGGAGAAGAGGAGGGAAATTAAAATTTAAAAATTACTTCACAGTACCTCTCCTAGGAAAAGGAAGTTTCCTTGTAAGCCTCAACATTGTGCAGAAGACCCTGTATTGCTGGCTCACTTGTGAGTGGATCCAACCGAAATAGGCATTAAATACACTTTACAGAGAAAATTTCTGAAAACTCTAGTAGCAAACTGATAAAAAGGGATCAATGACAAAAACATAACAATAATTTAAAGGTAATTTTTGGTGTCATTTCTTTGATCATCAAGAGTACTGACAATGGGGATTGTGGCAATCTTTTAAATAGAATGAAGGGGATCCTATGAACTATACAGTGTGTGTTGTGGTCCAACTTCTGTGGTCTTTATTTGTCATCCCCTCACATTCATCATCATAACTTAAAACAAGGAGAAATCTAAATTAAATTTGATAAAGTTACAGTGTAGTTACTTGTCTATTGGATTGGCTTTTTTTCACAGCTACTACTATAGCAACAACAGTGGCAAGGACGATTACAACAGCTGCCCAGTCAAAGCCTCCCTTAGTAGTCATTTCTGGTAGTCCCATTAAGCTGACACCCTTATCAAGAGGAGGTGCAGCTCTTACAGGTGCACAGACAAACTCCAGTTCCACTGGCAATATAACATGCACTTTAGTTCATGTACAGCCATTTACAAATAAACAGCACATTGCTCCTAAAACAGGAAGTTCTCCAAGCAAGCAAACTATTCCAGTGCAGCTCCAAAAATTGGTCCCCATTAGTGTTGCAACTTCATCTTTGACAAAGGTACAAACAGGCACGGCCCCTCAATTCACAATAGCTGCACCTGCTGGGTCTGTCTCTGGCATGCGGCACATTGCTCCCAAAGTGAACCTTGTATCAGCAGTTCCAACAGGACAGGCTGTTCAATTAACAACACCTACAGTGCAAGTCAGAAACATTGCTCCTGCTGTGGAGAAGACTGCTCAAGTTCCTCAGCAGGTAGGTCATATATACTTAGTCAATGAAAAGGTTGTAGTCTGGGTTACTATGACAGAGTATATTAAAAGCTTGTTAAAGCAATTATATTGTGCCTTTATCAAAGTAATGGTGCATATATAAAAAATATTTTCACATGGTTCCATTTTTCAGTCATCGTCAATTTTTGCATTTTTTGAGTCATTCATTCTAGCTTTTCTGTGCAATTTTAAGAGAAACAGATGGACAATACACACACATTTTAAGCCTAGATGTGATAAAAGGATACTGACCATTTGTAGATGAGTAAGGTCATATGTGGTCAATATGATTATATTTGTGAGTGCTGTTTGCTTGCTTTTTCCCCATTAGCTGGCACCAAAGCCAGTCCAGACTCAAGTAGCCAGCGGTGGTCAGCAACAAAGACTCATTGTCCCAGCCTTGCCTTCTACATTACCTCAGATAGCAACAACAGGAGCTTCAGGCAGCCTTCAGTTTCCCCATGGTGTAATTAGTGGTGGGGTAGTTTATCTCCCTCAGGTTTGTGACACAGAAAGGCTTGTTCATACAGATAATTATCTGCCTCACTTAAGGTATCGAGTCAAGCTCTGGCAAGTTCATGGTGCTTTGTCTGTGGGTAAAACGCTTAATTTTCACAAGGGGTGACCAAGGCAGAATTTCACCTTGTATTATCAATACAATTTCATGCAGAAAAGCAGTGAGAATAAGGAAAACATCAATTATAGAAACTATTAACTGATCCAATGACAAATTCTGCAAGCTACTATCATAACAATTGTGTGGCAGACAATAAGGAGATGTAATAGTGAGATCTTGGGAGTGGACGATGTTAAGGAAGAAGTGAAATCACTCCCTGCCATGGAATGAAGACTTGCATGGTAGAGGACTCTCTTCTTCTAACTGCTGTTGTGCTTTTTTTCTTTTTGACCTTCAGCAAGCTCTTGCTTCTGGAGGTTTTCCTATTGCAGTACCTTTACAGGCTAATGCCATTAATACTCAAGCACAAGGAGGAATGACTGTTAATGGGTAAGTGTGTTAACTGTTGGTTTGAATTGTATCAACCGCTGGGTTTTTGTTAAGTCAGTGTACAGTTGAAGTGAGCAATAGCCCTGACTTTGTAATGCATTGATTCAGGCATTTTGACTCAAGGAAGTTGTTTGTCATAATAGCAGTGAAATGTCACTTGAATCAGTGTTTGCCTTTATTTACTCATAGCAGTTCTCCTGAATCATCACCTCCCAACAGACCTCGGAAGCCTTGTAACTGCACAAAGTCACAATGTCTTAAATTGTAAGTGCAGTACTGGTAATACTTTATTGTATGATTCCAATGTAGAGTCCGTTCTGACACGTATTAATAAAATTGGAAGAACTAGTAGAAAGTAATGGATGTACATGAAGTCCTGGATTCCTGTATGTGAGTGAACAATGCCATGACATGATATCTGTGATTTGCAAGAAGTCCCAACAAAAACTTACCATCTTCTTCTACCAGAAGGTCTTGCCTCCAGGTTACAATTAATTATAGAATATTTATTTTTGTGTACAACTAAGAACTGACCCAATAGATACCAAAGTTCATGCTTTCTATGCTCTGTGTCTGATTCTGTTAGGTACTGTGATTGTTTTGCAAATGGAGAATTCTGTAGCAATTGTAATTGTGTCAATTGCTCTAACAATATGGACCATGAAAAGGAGAGGAGCAAGGCCATTAAGGTTTGTGCAAGCATCTACCTCAACCCTATCCTACAGTCACACGCAGAACCCATCATTCTCCACTCTACTCTAGGAAGTACTGATGCTACAAACATCAAATAAAATACAGCAGCTTCATAATGTAGTTTACTATTCTCAAATATGTGAGGGACAAAGTGCTACATATGCCTGCTGATGCAGCATAAAAGGTGTACTAGAAAGTGTTATTGGAATTAGTTTTTAAAGAAATTGTTGATCTTGCCATTTCATTGTATTGAGGTGCACAGGGAAAGTAGGTGATTCAAGCTTTACTCCTTTTTTTTTTACTTTTTTTTTTCCTGTCCCTTTTTTTTTTTCAAAAACTGGCATACCCTTTAACACATGCTAACTAACTTGAAACATGATATATATTTCAGGCTTGTTTGGAGAGGAATCCTCAAGCTTTTCACCCTAAAATTGGTAAAGGAAGGGTAAGGGCTGCATTCCTTATGTTTAATGTACAAAGTTGAGGATACAAAGTCCACATCTGTGTTGGAAGTGTAATCTTTGAGTAATGATTTTTTTCATCAATAATCTGGGATGACTCATGGTTGGTGTAGACATAAAAGGCCATATCTAGTTCAAAAAGCTCTTTATATCAAAGTGGGGTAAAGTGTAAAAAGGTTCTCTTGAAAATGAGTTTTACTTTCTTGAAACAATATCATTCTTGGAATTGAGCTGTTTTACTTAGAAATGTATACACCCTTTGAGATGTTTTTGTGGTTTGATGAGCCAGCAGAGGAGGTCAATATACAGACAAGGTGTAAAAATGAGTAAAAATATTCAGCAATATGACACATGTAAAAAGTTGTTTATTATCCAACTGCTTTTATGCATTTCATGTAGGGTGGGAAAAAGGAAGCAAATAGAGAAGCAGTTAAACAGCTTATTTGTGACTTGTCTTGTGCAATGCACCTGTACAATTTCAATACAAAATAACCATTTGTTCAAACAATCGTATCATGTTGTGGGATATTTGTACTTAATTCACATGATATTTGTACTCTACTTAGTGCTTTACGATAAGAGTTCAAAGCTGCAGTCCTGCATGCATCAACCAGTGTGCTTTTCCAAGACAAGTCTTCTTAACTACATATAATCTCTTTAATTTTTAGGGTGATTCTGATAGGCGGCATAACAAAGGTGAGATGATATTACCTGGGTCATTGACTTGTTGTTATGAGTGATTCTTATGGTTATCTGTTGAACTTAATTGTCTCAAACAGGTTGTCATTGTAAGCGTTCAGGATGCCTCAAGAACTACTGTGAATGTTATGAGGTATGTAAATTTTTTGCTCAAGAGAGATCTTCTTTAAAAGTCTACACTTCCATATGTACAATGTTGATCATAAGTTGTAAAGAGGGTGCCAATTTTTTCATTTGAGAAGCAGTTTTATCAATTTTAAGATTTTTTTTTTCTTTAGGAATCACAATACAACTATTTAAGTTGTTAATTTGACTCTTTTCTGTTGATATTTACAGGCCAAGATTTTATGTACAAATCTTTGTAAATGCACAGGATGTAAGAATTTTGAGGAAAGTCCCGAGAGGAAAACTCTCATGCACTTAGCAGATGCTGCAGGTGAGAAACCCTTCTTACATTTATGGGGCTTGCAATTCTAACAGATGTTACCCTGATTAAGTATTCTTAATATTTAATGAGAGGAAGTTATTTTTATTGCTAATTAACTTTGCAAGTTTTGGTCTGAAAATACCATGGTCTTCAGTTTCATGTTTTTTTCAAGAACGGCATCCCTGTGGTAGATAGCTGTTTTTGAAGTCATGTCACTGAAATTTTCACAAGTGGTATTGCCTCAATTACCAAAGGGCATGAAAAGGATTGAATCAAGAACATTTTTTAGAGATGACAGTAGGGAAATAAAAACAACTTTCCACTGAATTTGGACTAACTGATATTTCATATGGGTACACGTACAAGTTCTGTTTCTACTCTTCACAGACGGTTAGAGAACTAGGCAAGTCCTTCATAGGCAACTCAAACAAGCGTAGACTAGGGGAAAGTATGGCGGAAAATTTTACAGGAATACTGGCATGTGATTTGTTTTAGCATTACCCAGGTTTACTCTGTGATCCAACGTGCAAATGAAACAAAAAACGCATACAAACACCTTCTGAAGGAAGCTATTTGTATGGATGTTTTTAAAGGCTGGTTTAGTTCCTTTTATACACACGAATAACGAAGTTAACTGCCTTTTGCACTTGGGGTTTTTCCAGAGGTTCGTGTAAAGCAACAGAATGCTGCCCGAACCAAGTTGGAATCTCAAATAGAAGACCTCCCATCCCGCCCAACTTTCTTAACAAACTCTGGAGAAAGGTCAGTTCTAGGTTTAATTTGAGTGTGCTTGAGGATGTAGTGTATCTCCTGAAAGCAGAGCCACCCAATCAAAGGGCAGTACTGTAACAACAGATACTGATATTTTCAAATTCAGCCTATCAACTGTCGGGTAATCTCAACTTGCTCGTTAACCGGTGATGTCTACGCCATTATGGTATCGGTTACCTTTAAGTTGAAGGCGTCAGTTTGTTAGAACTTCCACGTGCTTACTGCTTGTGGAAGTAAAAAGTGAAATAATTTTAGGTTGAACTTGTTTTCTATTGAGAAAAAAATCATGTAAAAAAATCTACAGATCAAAGGAAGTGGAAAAGAGTCTCACTCCTACATTAAGTTCACGCGAGGTGTCAACGGAATCCTCTCAAATTTTCTTGTGTGGTTGGCCTAGTTTTTTCATACACTGTAATGTTGTATGAAGTGTAAATTTAATTTTTAAGAGAAATCCAAGGAAGTTGTCCTCTCTGGTGGGAATTTCATGTGTTTCTCTTGTTGTTTTATTTTCAGACTTCCCTTCTCGTTTGTAACAGATGAAGTGGTACAAGTAACCTGTCAGTGTCTCCTGGAGCAAGCCTCAGAGGCAGAAAATGTATGTTTACCGCCGGCGTTCTTTATTTTCATGTTCTCATTTAAGAGTGAAATTGTAACCGTTTGTAAAAACGTTTTCCAAGTGGAGTATGGTGCCATTGTTTTAGTCAACGATGGATGTGCATCGGGACGTCTAGCTCCTTTTAGTATACGACAAAAATGGTTTCTGAACTAAAAGAGAAATTTTTCCTTGCGAAAAGAGGTGGAAAATAACACGGATACAACGAAACTCGTTGTAGAGAATCTATTCTCTATATAGAGGTCATGTGAGGCTTTGTAAACACGGAAAAGCCTTCCATTGCTTTTATAAAGTATTTCTTAGAAATTGCAGAAAAGATGAAGTCAACCAAGTTTACGTTCTCTTATGCAAACACACTTATCGACCAAAAGGGGCGCGCGTGCGATCTTAGATATTTTGTATAAATGTTTCTGAAGTAACCTCATCGAGTACAGGACCATGGCTCAGACAAATCTTTAGACAACACGAAAGGAAGTTTCACCTTTTTACACCTTTTGCTGTTCATTATGAGAAATACGCATTTATTTGCGTGAAAAGGTGAACAATTGCGTGAAGATGCATTTATTAGGGACAAAAGAAACAAAAAAAAACCATCATTTGCGCGTGAATCCGATACATTGACGATTTTTGCATTTTAATCAGCATTCACTAACAATTTTGGACATTCATATGCGTCATTCGTCATAAAAAGAGAAAAGTATGCTTTCATTTGCGCTAACCTTCAAGTCATTAACACCATCTTAAATGCCAATAGAGACAATACACAAACAGTATAGTGCAGAAACCATAAAATTTTTATCACACTCTTTGCAATTCAACAGCATTCCTGGACAACATTAGGGTGAATAAGATAACCACTAAAGCGCTTGTACAAACAATTGAATGTGTCTTTTTGCATTCAAAATGCAATTATCGATTTTCAATCGAACACCTATTTTGTCTGATTTAAAAAAGTTAGTAAATTTCGTTAAGTTCATTCGCTTCGTGAACGTCACCCGGCCGCTAGCAAAGAAAGCAACCACGAAGAAACCAAACACCACTCGAACACAGAGAGAAAAGTAAGATGATTCTAGGACCAGGAGGAAGACTATCTTGTCGTCGCAGACACGCTCGGAGTGAACCGATCAACGGCAATAGACATCGTGGTGCCTTACATCAGAGAGGGCAGGATCCAGGGAAGACTACGAGGTGGTAGAAACAACGTGCGCGTGGATGATGAGATGAGAGATTGCCAAGAGGAAATCATCAACGAAAACTGTCTACTCACACGTGCTCGGATAAACAGTGAACTGAGGAGACGGCTACCACTCAAACCCGAGATTCACAACCGCACCGTGGCAAGGACATTGGACGGGATGCTGTTTGGAGTGAAACTGGCAAGGCCCCTCTGTGCTGACAGAAACAGACCTGATGTGCTGAACAAGCGAGTAGATTACGCAACTTTGTTTATGAATATTGAATGTAAAATACGTTCAATAGTTTGTAAATGATCGGTTTTTGTCGCAAATGAATGAAACTTTACGTAATTGTTCGCCTTTTCACGCAAATGAATTTGTACTTTCTCGTACTGAACAGCAAAGGTGTACAAGCATAAGGGAGAAACAAACCAGTAAAAAGACATATTTCTCCTCAAAGGCATTTTATATGAAGTTATCATTGATTTTGGAAATCCCAGGAAGTGTTCTTAACAATCATTTTCAAACAACACGCGAAATACTTTTGTTGAGGTCTTTTTGCATCAGTCTCTCCACTTCATCCTCTCTTGACTCGTTGGAGGATTCCTTTCCCCACCCTCTCCACCTCCCCTCTCTATAACCTGCCTCTGAGTAATTGAAGAACCTTTGTGTCTTAACTATCAGCTGGGACAGTCCCAGGCAGAGATAGAAAAAATGATTCTTGAAGAATTTGGCCGGTGCTTGCTGCAGATTATCCACACGGCGAATGGGACGAAAGGTGAGTTTTTTTTTGTATCGCACTACTTTCGATTTGAGAAACGTTTAACGAAGGTGATGCTTATGGTGTCGTTCTGTTAATGTATTTTGATTGTTGTTCTCTGTGCTCATTTTTCTTGACAGAATGATTCCTGTTCTTGGTCGTCCAGCCAATCCTGCGTGCAGGGACTGCGTTTAAGTTATCACCCATTTGCGGATTTTATTATGTCTTTTTTCCGGCTCTGGAAACTAGACATCGTCGTCTGAATTTTTAACTCGTACCTATAGTAGTGTAAATAGAAAGTTTGCAACATTTTCGCCTGTTAACAATTTTGAACGCTCAGTGTAAATATAATGCTGTGTTGACTAAACTTGCTATCCTTGTGGTGCGCATGTTGCGCGGGACACCCGAGGGCCCTCTGAGGAAAACCCGTGGACACAAGAATCACTAGGAAACGTCTGGGACGTTAAAGAATTTTTATGGGATAGGCGTATGTGAGTTCTTGTAACTGATCTTCTCTGTACGTCATGTGTATTTCAACTCAATTCACTGTTGTTTGTTGTTGTCTATCCAGGAATAAAAGTCTGTTAATATATATATAGCACACCTCTTCTTTCTTTTCTTTTCTTTTTTTCTGAGTTCCCTGACCTCACTTTTCCCGCGCAAGTAGTATAGTAGAGCGGTTGCTGAAGATCATTCCCGCGCGTACAACCGCTCGTGATTTTTTCCAGTCTTTCCTCGCGCGCTCGCTGTAGTGGGTGGAAACTGAGTAGTGGGGTTTGGCAAGCTTTTCGTTATCTCGCTAGCAAACAGTCGTGTAGTTATTTTTTGTCGATCCAAGTGTGTCGCTGTGTTGCTTGCCAAGAGATTATGCAAACTTACAGCTTCCTCTCGCGATTGCCCATCAGGACGTGGTAGCCTGTAGTGGTAGTCCAATTACTAATTCCTTGAGCATGTCCCTGATCCCTTAAGAGTCACCTCTAAGGCAAGGAGGACGCGCATTAGGATTCTAGGTTAACTTTGAAGCAAAAATGCGAACAACTTGGAGAAGACTGAGATTTTGAATTGAATATTGAAATAAAAGTATAATCACAGTTATGTCTGCAATGTTGCGATAACGGAGTAGTATTAATTCCTATAAATGTTGGCGACGAAACCTACCCACACTCCCTTTTAGCTCATTCCCCAGCTAAAATAGTTTTAAGTCAGACACTACGCAAATTTACGGCAGGCGTGACGTGTTGGCGCTCGAAGCGCAATCTTGTGATCCGCCCGCGTTTCCGCTGCAAATTCTCATGAAGAAAAAAAAAAAAAAGAATTAACAACTGAAGTACGTCAACACCGCAGTTTAATTAAAAAACTTGCAACTTCCATGCTTGAAAATAGTGTCCTTCAGTTTCCGTGCTACAAAAATATTTCATAAATTACTTGTACAATCAATATGACCACTCGTAAGTCGTTTGAAGTGTCTTGAGATCTTCTCTCAGGGCATTTCAGTCGCACTTGAAATAACAGTGCACAAAAATCCAAAATATATCTCTAAGGTTGAATAAATGCCTTTGTTCGACAGAAAAACATCTAGATTCTCCAAAGAGCAATACGCCACATGCCAAGCAAAATTTATACAACATTTGTATACTAATTGGAATCCTCAAGCCGAAATTTACAAAATGCCGATGTTATAAATAGAAAAAAATAATCATTTCTCATTTCTCAATTACAAAAAAGGAATCGTTTCAAAACAACTATTTTTGTACAAAATTTGACCTTGACACTTTTAGATCTTCTGATAGTAGCTAATTTTCGATGACAAGCTTGATTCAGTTTCAGTGAAAGTGTTCATTAGTTTTGTTTATCTTGTTTGTCATCGCTTTCATCTCATCATATTACAAATGAGAAATTTCAATTTTGTTCCAATTACCCGGAGAGGTAACTATTAAATGTCGCCTTTCTCGCAGTCTTTTGATGTGTTAGTTTTTTTTTCTGTTTTTCCCGCGGAAGTCAAATTTGAGAGGTATTCCTATTGAGCAGAGATTCATTAATCAGCAAAATGTCAGTGAAAATTGGGGATATGAGACATGATGAAGTGAAATTTTCCAAAATTAGTCCTTTTGACCTTCTGGTCGTCTAGTCAGCACTAGTAGTGGTGACCGGTGATGAGTCGGCCTCTTAAGCTAGTTGAGGAAAACAAACATGAAACTGCCTGGGATGGGTCCTCTTCATGACACTTACACGACTCTGGATCATGCTTGATATGCCAGCTTGGAAATTTTTTAGTCTTTCAAACATTGGTCTGATCAAGCTTTGAGAACGACGATTCTTCCTCTTCGAGCAGTGAAAGAAACTCCGAGGGGTTTTCGGGATCTCGATCAAGGTCTTTATCGTGAGATTTTTTCTTCTTTCCATTTGTCAAGCCTGGCTGCCAAGAATGTTCTGAACCTTCCTCTTTTTCTCCTTCTCGCTGCACGACATTTCCGTTCCGTTTGTCATCATTCATTTCGTTTTCCAAATAGTCGATCTCGTTTAGAGTCTGGAGCTCGATTCCACGCGAGTCTCGAATATCCGAGTTGTTCATGACAGCTTCCGACGTCTTCCGAGAACCGAACATTACACTCAATTTTCTGGATTTGCTGTCGTCGTCTACATCTTGCAAACCTTGCTGCTTCAACTTCCGATTGCGGTACTTTTTATAAATGGCGTCGAAATTCGAGACAATTACTGGCACAGGTAGAGCAATCGCAAGCACACCGCAGAGTGCACAACCAGATCCAACAAGCTTTCCCCACACCGACTTAGGATACATATCTCCATAACCTACAGTTGTCATGGTAACAAGAGCCCACCAGAAGGCATCCGGGATACTTCGGAAGAATGTTTCTTCATCACCACTCTCTGCATAGTAAATCATACTTGAGAATATTACCACACCGATTACTAAGAAAAATATCAGGAGTCCAAGCTCTCGCAGACTCTTCCGCAACGTTAGTCCGAGAATTTGGAGTCCGCTAGAATGACGCGAAAGCTTAAATATACGGAACACTCGAACAAGTCTTAAAATTCGGAGAAAGGCGAGTGAAAATGTCTGCTCGCTGCTGTTTTTAAGTCCCAGTTCCACGTAAAACGGCAGTATAGCGAGTAAATCGATCACATTTAGAAAGGAACGTACGAACATCCATTTATGTGGACTAGCCATTAATCGTACTAAATACTCAAATGTAAACCAGCTAATGAATGCAATTTCAAGCTGCCCAAACACGTTCTTTACCGATGTCGCCAACTTGTTGTGTTCCCTAATTTCTTGTAACTTTGCCGTATCATTTGCGTTAACCCCTTCAGTTGACAGAACGATGAACTCGGGAAGTGTTTCTATACACAATACCACTATCGATGCCACGATTACTGAAACAGACAACAGCGCTAACACACGAGCCGCTTTGCTGGAATCGGGATACTCGAACAGTCGCCATATTATCTTTTGCGCTCTGTTCTCTGGCATTATTATTGCTTTCTCTGGTGGTTCATCTTCGTTCAGAATATCCTTAACCGCATTAACAGCTTGCTCTCCAAGTTCGAAAAACTCTACCTCTTCCAATAAAATCTCCGGAGCCAACTCTGGAGGGCAGACCAATCGGCCATTAGACTGATAGAAGTACAAAATTAATTCGAACACTTGAATGTTCCGGTCAAAGAAGTATTCATCGCGTTCTTCGTCGTAATATTGTTTCCGTTTCTCTATATTTCCCAGAAGGGTGGTAGGAAACCTTTCCAATGTTTTGGCGTAAGTCATGTATCGGAATCCTGACACGTTCAGCACGATTCGACGATGTTTGGACGGCGAGTCATGTTTTCCATGGCCAGAAGAATTTTTAACTCCGCTACCCTCCCCAGAGACTTCTTCATCGCTGATTTCAGAGCCTTTTCCAGGGGCAGCTTGAGTTGTTATGTCTCTCTTCTTTAATCGTAACGTGATTGCTCCATGTGTACTCAAGCTTGCTCCCATTTCTC